GCACCCCGGCTCGACTTTGAGCGGCGAGACGACTGTGTCTCGTGCGATAGCACCACGCCGGTGTGTAACTGTGCTACGGGGGAGAAGTGTGTTTTGACTTCCAGGTGCGTCCCACTCTCCCTCTCTGGAATGCAGGCGTGAACCCAGCTGACATGTGCCACCCGCAGAACGTGCAACCAGTGCGCGGCGATCCAGTGCATCAAGGGCTCGTCGAGCTCGTCCTCCAGCAGCGTCAATGCGGGTGTCATAGCCGGACCTGTCGTTGCTGTGCTGGTGATCGCCAGCTTGGGGCTGTTCTGGTGGCTCCGGCGCAAGAAGGTGAGCTGGGTTCCTTCGTGTCGCCATCACCACGAGAGCATAGCTGACATTATCGACGCAGCGCCGCGACCTCGCCCGCGTCGAGGAACTCGCCGACCGAGCCCGCAAAGCCGAATCAGCAGGCTTCCAGCTCTCCCACCCTGGCTCTCCTGCACCCGGCTCAGCCCGTTCCCGCTCTACCAACTCGCGCAACTCTTCCCTCCCTCTCCCCCCACCCTCTGCCGCTCGATCCGGCGGGAGCCGTTCACCCTTACCCCCCGCGCCTGTCAACGCAGAGTATTACGATGAGAACGGCGCCACGATTAGGGTGTACTCTGGGAATGGGGGTACGATCCATGCGGATTCGAGAGGGGCAGGGGGAGCAGGGGGTGCGGATCCGTTCTCGGATAGGCAGAGCATATCGACGATGGGGAGTGGAGGGACGGCGAATATCATTCCGATCCAGTGGATCCCGCCGAGCAAGTCGGAGGATGCGCTGTCGCGTGTGGCTGGCGGGCAGCCCGCGGCGCAGGCTCAGGGCGGGCAGACGGCAGCGGCCCGCGCGCTGGACGAGGCGAGGCAGAACCTGTTCAAGCCGAAACGCCCTGCCCGCTCGCCCGATATGGACCTCCGCTTGAACCCCACCACGGGCATCTCCACCGCCCCGAGCTCTTTCGACCCTGGCGCCCTCCGTTCCCCCGCCGACGCTGCAGGGTGGCGCGACTCGTACCTCTCTGGCAACAGCGCCGCCCCGTCCTACTGGTCTGGCCAGTCGGACGTCCACCTCGACGCGCCCAAGATTGTCACCTCGAAGCAGGTCCAGATCGGGAGGTACCAACAGGCAGAGATGGTGCAGTTTGGGGGGAAGAGCCCGCAGATTGTGGAGATGCTCGGGAAGGGAAAGTTGAGCCCCGTGCGGGATGAGGAGAACCCGTTCAACAGTTTGAGCTCGGTCGCGTCGAGCTCGTACGCGAGGCATCCTGCCGAGCGAGGGGAGGAGCCCGCACCGGGGCTGTCCCCGAGCAACGCAAGCTTCCAGTCGGGCGAGGCGACCGTCAGGTCGCTCACCCCGCGAAGCGCGCGGTTCGGCGAGGAAGAGCGTCTCGGCGCGGCTGGCGGAGAGGGGGCAGGAGGGGACGGGGAGAGTGGGGATTTGAGGTTCTCGATGGGGAGCTTGGCGTATCGCGATAGCGTGAGCACGATGGGCACGGGGAGGTACCTCGCTTCGGCTATTACCACCGGCCTCCCTGCGCCAGCTGGGAATGCGGGTGCCGCCCCGGCGGGGAGGGAACGCGAAAGCGTCCTCTCGAGCAAATCGTTCGCCGACTCTGTCCTCGGCGCATTTCCCATGATCCCCCCAGACTCGCACCACGCCCGTCCGCCTCTTCCCCCCAACGCCGAGGCCATCGCGCGAGAGCGCAGCGAGTCGTTCTCGCTTGGCCTGCCCCCTCGCGCGCCGGGAGGTCCGGCAGGGCAAGGGAGGGGCGCGAGCGTACCGCACTCGACGAGTATCGATACCCTCGAACACGTCGCGCGGCCTCCTCCTACAGCTGTGGCGCGTCCGCCCCCGCCTGGTCCCAGGCCGGCTAGCTCTGTGCGTGGGTCCACCGCCGAGGACGCCGGGGCGGGGGCGGGAGAAGCCGGGGCAGGGAAGAAGAGGCCCGAGACGCAGGCGTCGATTGCGGATAGCTTTTTGGGGACGTTCCCGTTCGTGCCGCCGAATGTAGATGATTTGGCGGAGATGCCGCAGGGGGTGGGGCAGGGGCAGGGGCGGTGAGGCGTGTGGGGTGTGTGAAGGGGGTGTGGGAGGGGTGTGGGAGGGGTGTTGGATGAACCTGGAGTGTGGTGTACCCGCATGGGGGCAAGAGCAGAATGAGCGCGAGAAGCGCGAGGGGATACATACGGGGGTCAGTGTACGATCAACCCAACGCAGGATTTGTTGGTGTTCTAACGAAGGGGGGACGATGGGGGTATGACTCTTTGGATATACTTATGCACTCTTTTGTTGACACTAGGGCTTACGTCTTGGGATGGAAGGCATGGGTCGACAGTGGTGATTGATTGACATGGCGTACAAGGGTTACATGGTATGGAAGTGCTCGTGGTTATCATACGGTTCGTTTCGTCGTTTCTTATTATTGCTTCGTTTTTCAGACACATGCCCCCCGAGCTCCTCATGCGAGCCCCAGCCTCCCAACCCCTTCAGCCGCCTCTCCCGCCCCGGCCGCCTTCTTCCCCTCATCGTTCACATGCGCCCCGCGCCCATGGCCATACCCCCTCAACTCACGTACCCTCAACCCCTCCTCTCCCTCACCCTCACTCTCTCCCCCCGCGTGCTCGACATGCGCGACGTGCGCCACATGCGCACCGGTGGGGAACCCATTCAGCGCATCGTACGCGCTCTTCCCGCGCTCGGCGGAGGTACTCCTCTTCTCGGACCCGCCGGCTACGTGGGGGGTACCAGACGCAGGAGGGGTGGGGAAAGGGTCAAGGACCCCGGCGTTGCGCCATGCTTCGAAGGCTGCTGCTGACCCGGCGGGGACCGACCCAGCGACGGAGGGTGGCGCGGAGGGCGGGACAGAGCCGGTTTCAGAGACGGTGGAACCGTACTCGTCGGTGGAGGCTATGGAGCCGTGCGGGCGGTAGTGGGCGTACGTCGGGGTGGGAGGGGAGAAGTGCGCAGGGCGGGTTTGGGTGTGGGGGTGGGTAGGGCGGGTGGGGGAGGTAGGGGTGGGGAGAGACGGAGAGATGGGGGTGAGCCCGTGGAGGGATGTGTCCTTTGGTGCTTCTGAAGCAGGCAGCGGCCCATGAGGACCCGGCTTGGGCTTATCACCCCCAGACGAAACTGACCCCGCCGACCCAACCGATCCTCTCTTTATACTGTCCTTCATGCTCTCCCCCGCTCCAGCTCCCGACCCCGCCGCACGCTCAGGCGACGCCACCGCCCCAGCAGGCGACCCCCTCAGTGGGTTCACCAGGATATGCTCCGGCGCGATGGTTGGGTGCAGCGCGGATGCTACTGAGGCGGGGAGGATGCGCGGGAGGGTGTGGCCTTGCGGCGTGTTGCTGCTGGGCTCAGCTCCCGGAAGGTACTTGCGAGATGGAGAGGCAGAGGAGGAGGGAAAGGCGTTGGTGTTGCCCTCGGAGGAAGGGGGGATGGGGATTGGGGCAGGGTCGGACGCGGGGAAGTGCTCTGCTTGGGGAGCTGGTGCTGCCGTGGGGACAGAAGACTCGTCCTCGGAAGAACGCTCGGTTTTCTTGTGGCCTTTCCTCACTGTGTCCGCAACCACTCAGTCAGCGCTGGCCGATATGCTAGAAGTACGTTGATACCGCGTGACGAGGAGAGGCTAGAAGACGTACGCATGTTGTGCAGAGCCCCGCTGATCTTTTCACCCATGGACACCTTGCGCTCCGTCTGTCCACCCTCGGAGTGCTCGCGGCGGTGCTCGGGGGCGTCCAGCTTGCCGTCGTGTTTGGTGGTAGCGGCTGGGGCACCTTCAATTTGGGGGCTTTGTCATGCTCGGCGTTAGCTAGACTATCGTGCGGGCCAATCCAATTTCCCCAGCATAGGACGTACGAGTGGCCGTCGCGCGCTGCCTGGGTTATCTGGTCCTGCAGGATCTGGGCGTAGCGTGTACCAGACATGTGTGCTGCTGCTGTAGGTTGTCGGGGGGTGAGTCCTGGAGTTTCTCGGGCAGATTGTGAGCAGATAGTGTTGCGGACATATGGCAGACTCGAGTGGCAAGCCTTCACCTACCCCTCTTATATACCGCACTCGTACCAAGCTGCAAGTGATCTCGAGTGCACAAAGACGCTCATCCTCGTGTCTTGGTGACTCACCGCCGAGACACTTCTAAGACGTCATATCGATCAAACAAGACCATCTCTTCGGGGCGCCGATGGGTCGAGGCAGGCCGTCAGCAGGACATATGGGATCACGCAAGGGCGTGCTTGCTAGGCCTCCGTCAAGATGACGACCGACGGTGTCGGCGTGGATGGTGTGTGGGTGACGAGGCGGCATGAGGAGTTCTTCTTGATGTGCGGGAGCGTGTCGGAGGGGACGATGGTGGGGTATCATATGCTTGCTGCTATGCATCGTAAATAACTGGGGTGAAGGATGGCATGACCTTTGCTGGCTGTGATGGGCTTCATGAAAAGCTGCGAGTCAATGACCAACAAGTCTGTAGTATGCAGCGCCTTCGTCCCTACATGCGTGCGGCGAGTGTCGTCGGCGCCGGCAGCGACGACGACGGACGACCTCAGTCCCTCTCAATCCTTTCTTCCACCATGAGACGGCCTACTTGAAGAGCCGATGTCAGGCCTGAAGCCTTTCTGAGTGGATGAAGGTCGTATATATGTAGATTCGAGCCACCACTGCATTGAGCATCCATGGGCGGGGCTGAGAAGGCGGATCCCGGTTTGAGGTCTTGAGGTCGGACAGGCATCACGCACTATGAAGTGACTCTCCTGCTTGTGGGATGGTAAAAGGGACGTCAGATTGGTGTTGCAACTCTCATCAGTGGCCCCGGGATAGCCGTACGCGTGGAAAATCTGCTTGATGGTCAGACTTTTGCTCATTCGCGAGAAGGTCCTTTGAGTGTTGGTGAAGAGTCTTCCATCTCCTTTTCCAACGACAACGAAAGCAGACGTGCCCCAAGTTGCTTTTACACATGTTCCGTTAATTATTACTTCAAACATGACAAGCCCCCGTGGCGCAATCGGTAGCGCGTGAGACTCTTAGTCTCTCCTTACCCCGATTACGGGCCATAAGTTGTTAAATCTCAAGGTTGCGGGTTCGAGCCCCGCCGGAGGCTGTTCTTTTTGCTATCGGCGTGCAGCCCTGACTCGTGGCTACAACCTGAGCCGATAAAATCGATTTTTCATCGAGCGGATCGGGAGAAAAGTGGATCCGCAGACAGGGGGGGTGTCGGGTGGCGCGCCGCGCCGCGCGCGCGGCAAAATTGCGAGGTCGCGGAGAGCTTTTTTGAGCTCCATTTTTCGCTGGGGCGGCTTGTGCGTGCTGGGTTGACCTGCGGGCGCGAAAAGAGTGCATGTTTAGGCTGAACCACGGCTGTATTCTGATCCGGGGCACTTGCCGTACCAAAAGGGCCGGAGTGGGCGACACCTTCCAGCCATTCTGGACTGTTTGACATGATTCTTTTTCGTACCAGGCTGATGGGTATCATTCATGGGAGCTGCTCTACCAATTTTCAAACCGTTCGCATAAAGTTTGGGTCAGTTACCTCAGCGGGGCTTCCCCCGGCAGCCCGGCAGGGAGCGAGAACGTCGTGGGTTTGAATTTCGGCGTGCCTCCACTTGTGGTGGAGGCGGCGATGTCCGCTGCCGTCCACCAGGTGTGGGTGGGTGGTGGTCCTCTATAGACGGACAATTCGATGCAAAGATCTGACATGAATGCATGGTGGTCGTGGCTGCCGGCCGGCCCCTAAGATCCGACTGCATGCAGCCAATCTTGAGAAATAGCGTTTCGAAAAGAGGCGCTACGGTCAGAGTCGACGGCCGCGGCGCGGGTGGAGGCAGTCCGCCGCGTCCGCCTATTCCCCCTCCCATGAACCTCTTGACTTCCGAGGTCCAGGAGTCGTCACGGATGCCATGCATAGGATCAGACTTCATAGCTATACTATGGAGCCGCGGGCCCATTGTTGTGCAACGCCGTTTCAGACCGTAAAGACGAGTCAAAACAGTCAAAAGAACTCGTCCGCGGCGCCGGCGAGTGCGATTGACGTCATCCTCGATCCCGACCTGTCATGCGTGCGCATCGCGCCTTCGAAGAGGTCTTTCTGGTTCCCATGCATCGTATATATAGCCTGGAAGTGCAAAGCTCTCAACCAACATCACCACCACTTGTCAAGTGCGTCACCCATACTCTTCTCCGCCACCCGCTGATAAAACTCCAACAGTATGTCTGCCATCTTCACTCGCTCCATCCCCCGTTGCGCTCGTATCGGGTCGATTCCCGCCCGACGTACACTCACCACTTCTACCCCTAGACTAGCCGAGATGCCCCCTCCCGAGCACAAGATGGCGGTCTTCCCCCGCATCACCTCTTCGCTTCCTTCTGAGCACGCCGAGTTTAGGAACGTGCTGTGGACGGGCGAGAGCAGCCAGCTGGTGATCATGACGATCCCTGTCGGCGGTGAGATTGGCGAGGAGGTGAGCGTTCGGGCTGTATGTTGTTGAGACTATGGGCTGAGACTCACGGGTTTGCAGGTTCACCACGTCGACCAGCACCTGGTCTTCACTTCTGGCACTGCCAAGGCGATCGTCGGCGGTGAGGAAAAGGACATCAAGGCCGGTGATCTAGTGATCGTGCCCCAGGGTACCAAGCACAACTGTACGTCGCGATGCCTTGGTCGTCCAGAAGGGTCTTGCTGACGTTATCCACAGTCATCAACTCTGGCCCCACCCCCCTCTCGCTCTTCACGGTGTATGCGCCCGCAGAGCACGCCGAGACGACGGTGAACAAGACCAAGGAGGAGGGAGATGAGCTGGAGGAATCGGGCAAGGATGAGCCGCCAGAGTGGGCTACCAAGCACTAGGGGGTACTTCAGAAGTCAAGAAAAGTAGTAAAAGAATCTATGCAGTGTGCTGTTCGGATGCGACCAAGCAGCGATACGCGGCTACACAACGTGACGGGGGTTCTAAATGCAATTGGGGAGACTTGCATGGGCACCGTACCCATGATACCAGTTATGCATGCTCACGTCTACCAATACGTGCTATATACCGCCTGAACATAATCTACCCAAAAGTCACTGCATTCGCTTCGACGCCATCTACCACCCGCCCTTCTCCCTCCAGCTGTGAATCTCCCCGACAAACTCCCCCACCCTCTTCCTCATATCCTCCACGGCGTGGGTCCTGTCCCACTCAGTCCTGCTCCTCCAGAGCTTGTCGAAGAGGGTAGCGCGAAGCTGCTCCAGCTGGTCAATGTTGAGCAGCGAGGTTTCCTTCTCGAGCTCGGTTTGGAGGAGCGAGAGGTCGCCTTCAGGGAGGACGAACGGGGGGTACTCGACAGGCGCAAGAGGCTGGGGTGGGGGCACGGTGGCGACCTCCGCGGCCTCGGGCGCGGGGTCTGCCGGGGCGGCAGGAGGGTCGACGGCCATCGGCTCGTCGTCGCGAGCACGCTTCTCGCGACCTTGAGTGTCCTCGGCGCCTTCTGTTCCCTCTCGCGCCCTCTTGCCTGCCGCAACGTCCTCCGCGCTCTCACCGTTCTCCGCTGGGTTGCCCTCCGCATTCTGCTCCCCTTCCGCAGGTGCCGGCCCCTCCGTCGGCGCTGGCACCTCGGCACCAGCCTCCTTCTCCTTCTCCCCCTCGGCCGCCTCGCTCTCAGCCTGCTCCCTCCTCTTCTGCCTCTCCGCCTTCTTCGCCCTCATCCTCTCCCCATACCTCTCAAACTCGGGCATCCACTTTTGGTCAAACCCAGAGACATGCAGCCTCGCGTTCGCGACCATGTCGACAATCTTGGCGAGCTTGTCCGGGTCGCCGATCCTGCGCGCATTCTCCTCGATCTTTTCGACGTCCGCGAGGAAATCGTCCGGGGTAAAGTACTTGTGCCGGATGAGCTTGCGCTGGAGCGTGTCGATGTCGACGTTGTGGGCTTGCCACGTGGGGGCAGGAGCGGCCTCGACGACGGGCTCCGTGGGAGCCGCCTCGGGGTCGGTGGCGGCAGGCGGCACCACGGCCGGCTCGGTGGGCGCGGCGACAAGATCCACCTCCATCCCATTCTCGCCGTTCACGAGCGCGAGAAGATTCTCGGCAGGCGGCGGGGGGTTGGCCTTCTGGGCCGCCTGCTCCGCGAGCTCTCGGGAAATCTCCATCGCGTCATCCTGTCACCCTGTCAGCTGGGCCTTATCAACACAACCAGAAACTCACTTTGACACCCGCAGCGACCTTCCTGAACCGCTTTATAAACTCCTGCACGAGGTTGGTGAACGACACCACCATCATGTTCCTCGCCGCCTGGTCCTTTTCCTCCTCCCTCGCGAGCTCGGCTTCGGTCGGCGGCCTCGGGGGTAGCGGCGCGGCCAGGGGAAGGATCTCGAGCACGCGCTTGCGCCTGGGTACGCCGTCGGGGAACTCGGTGGGGGGTTTGCGAACAGCAGCGATGAGGTCGGCAAAGTACGCCGAGCGCTCAGTCTAGGTCAAATCAGCACAAGTCTAATCCATACAACATCGCACTCACATGGGTAGGCAGAGTCAACTCGATCCGGTTCTCGGGCGCAAACCCAAACCACGACCGCACGTCCCCCGGCAACTCTTCCACCGGCCCGTCCGTCACGCCCAAGAGCAAGATGGGGTCAGACGGGGGTATCGAGTCTAGCAGCGCGCCGACAGTCGACCGCGCAGTGTCCGAGACGGTCGCAGCCCATTGAGAGAGCGCAGGGACAAAGATGACGGAAGGCTGATGGCGCTTGGCCTCGACAAAGAGTTGGACGACGGCGGCTTCGGTAGACTACCCAGCTAGTCAGACCTGTCCTGTTTCCGCTAGCTGACGACTCACGCGGGTGGAATCCCCCATCAACGTCCCAAGGTCCAAGCTCTGCACATGGAACCCTTCAAGATGGTGCAGCACCGCCGGGCCGAGGTACGCCTGGCCCATCCCGAGGTCACCGTGCACGAGGATCCTCGGGCGGAAAGTGCGCAGCTTGTCCAGGGCTGAACCGCAAGTCAGCGCCATCACACCTCTAGGCAGCAGACTTACCCTGCAGCATCATGTGCTTCTCAAAGTTGTCGCTATCCTCATCCTCAAACTCGGCCTCTTCGAGCGCCGTGATCTGCTTCTTGGGCGGTAGAACGTTGTCGATCGCACCCTTCAGCCTGTCGAGCGGCGCCTGGAGCAAAGGCACCAAGTGGCCGGGGAGCTGGACAGCGGCCGACGACGTAGAGCGCGCGGAAGACGGCACGATCTCTGATTGTGAAGGCCATGTCAGCTTCTAGGCCAGTGGAGCCGCCGATTGGAACATGAAGACTCACTCTTGATCGACATCATAAAGTCCTTTGCCTGCACATGGATCGATTGAGTCTGGAGCTCGAGCCTGTCGGCCGTCTTGTAAATCTGGGGGTATCTCCGCTGGATCGCGTTGAGCGCAGCCTCCGTGCACAGCGCCTAAAGCGTCATCAGCTCAAGCTTTCTACGTGTTCTAGAGTCGACTAGAGCCGACTCACCCTCAGATCAGCACCGCCGTAACCCTTGGTCAACACCGCCAGCTTGTCCAAAAACTCGTCCGACAGCTTGGGCTCCCACGACCTCGTGTTGATCCCGATGATCTTTTTCCTCGCGACGCGGTTGGGGAGAGGGAAGTAGAACTCTCGGTCGAATCGACCGGGACGTCGGAGCGCGGGGTCGACAGCGTCAGGTCGGTTGGTGGCGCCGATGACGATGACTTGGCCTGTGGCGCTGTCAGCGGCACTCTCGCGTGAAGGATGATGTGTCTCACCTCTACCGTCCATACCGTCCATCAACGCAAGAAGGGTCGACACCAACGACGCGTGGATCTGGTCCTGTTTACTGCTCCTCACGGGCGCAAGACCTACCGGGTTGTCAGCTCGATTGAATGCTCCAACAAGGAGGATGGAGCGCACCGTCAATCTCGTCAAAGAAGATGATACTAGGCTGCGACGCCCTCGCCTCCTCGAAAAGCATCCTCAACTGCCTCTCTGCCTCACCCACCCACTTTGAGAGGACATCCGCGCCCTTTCGCATGAAGAAGGCTGACACAGGTGCTCGTCAGCATGCGCTTTCCTCAACACCTGTAACCACTCACAGATCTTGGTGTTTCCAGTGCTGCAAGAC